TTTATTTATTACAGGAATAAATATCCCTAAAAATTTACTTTTGAGTTGGGACATGATGTTAGATCATATGGATGATTTGTGGTATAATTAACTATTTCACCAGTGTTGTATTCAACATTGAAGTGTACTTGTGTCTGTGTAAAATCAGCACTTGAAGCATTATTGATTTTTTCCTTTGAAATAAAATTCTGAGTTAATTACTGAAATTAAGATAAAAATCCATTTCATATTCTTGATATAAAGAAAACATTATTTTCTGGCTAAATCAAAAGCATCCATACAGCAGGCCAAACTGACTCAACAAGAAAATCCCTTTCACTTTATATAATACATGCACACTTCTTTTGGTCTTCCCTAAGATTATTTGTCCTGAGTCTACCCTGTTTATTGCTCTATGTCCAGAAGCTTAGAATATAGAAAACATTCAATATATTTATAATTATTATAAAATTACTATTTTATAATTATATAAATCAGTAAATATTTTTAAAAGAACACAGTGTCTCAATTTTATGTTATTAATGTTTAGGGAACTTTAGTGATATAGTCTATAAGAAGTTGTGTTGGTAACAAAAATATGGAGTCTATCAGTTGAGACCCACAAGAAGGTCCAGTGGAAAAAAAATGAAAACTTTCTTCCTGTGCAGTTTATAGCCTCAGAAAACCAGTTGAAAGATCAACTATGAGTTGGTTCCACTTGATGGTAATGAATGAGTTTGTCACCTATATAGACTTCAGCAGAGTTAAGTACTTACATTTTAATGTAGATATTTTAAGATTGTAATGCATACACTTCATTTTTGGGGTATATACTTGAGAGGGAAAATCCTTGACTTTATCAATACACTTACATTTATTTGCAGATAACTTCTAAAACTATTTGTTCAGCCCATTTCTCTCTCTCCCTCCCCTCCTTTCCACTCCCCTTCCCTTCCTTCTCCCCCTCCTCAGCCCCAGCTTTTTTTATTCATTTGGAATTACATTTATTGAGCAAAATAATATACAGCCTAGATGGTGGAATCATAGTGCAGAGATTCACAGACAGCCTTATAGCAATCAGAGGACACCACCACTAATAGTGCGTACTGTGTACACCCAATCAGAAGTAAAACAACCATCTGACTCTAACATCCATCCAGTAAAGGAAATGGTTTTCCTCTTTACTAGAAAGTAGACTAGCACCTGTGTGATTGTGCTAATAGAAAAAAAACAAGTTTCTAAGAGGAAAGTACATGGGTGGGTGGCGTGTGGAGTCTATGTGAGCAAATACAATGAAGAGCAGGTTCCTCAGCACAGTCAGCAGGTGGATGATTAGAAACAGCACGAAGAGGAGGACTTGTGTCTCTGAATCCTGTGAAAGGCTCACAAAGAAACATTCAGTCATATCAGTTTGGTTTTCTACTCCAAAGAATGTTTATTTCTGCTTTTAAGTTAGTACCCAAAAAGAAATGTACGTGTGTGTGTGTATACACTACTCATATATGTGTGGGTGTGTGTGTATATATATATATATATATATACACACACACACATGTATTTGTGGATATACTGAGGTAACCTGGGGTTGCTGTGATGCTAAACCTTGAGCCTTTGAGGTGTCTAATGTTGTAACGATTACCCATAGTGGACAGTGTTTGGTGTAGTTCCCAGTTTAAGACAGATTTAGAAGCAGGAGTGGCATTCACTTCCTAAACAACATGCCTCCAGAAACTCAATGAACTTTGAAAAATGTCAATAGTTATAGAAAGGCTTCAGGCCTTTTGTTCACAGTGTCACTATAAGTCATGCTCAACTCGATGACAATCCACAACAACATATGTATGTGTGTGTGTATATATATGTATATATACCTGTATATACACATAGGTATGTGTATATACAGGTATATATACATATATGAGTATATATGTGTGTATATATGTAGGAGTGTATATGTGTGTATGTTTATATACACACACATATATCTGTGTGTATACACACACACGCACACACATACACACACATAAACCTTGAGCTACTTCTAGGTACTGTGAGGGTGTTGTTTACCATGTAATCAGAACTGACACATAGCTGACCTACCAGCAGGCTTTCAGAGGCCGTTAATTGTGTATAAGCTTCCCCGTCTTCTTCCCACAGCAGCTGGTGGATTAGTACAAAGTGCCTTTGGCTTGACAGTGTAACTCCTTACCACCAGGTCACCAGAGTGTTTATCAAGGTTGTATCCCTTCTTCATATTTATTTAATCTGTATGCTGAGCAAATGTTTTAAGAAGCTTGACTCTGTGGAAGAGGAATGTGACAACAGGATTGGAGGAAACACTAATCCATAATCTTTGTTATGTATTGGCACAACCTTGTTTGCTGAACATGAGGAGGACTTGATGTCTTGATGTCGTCAATATGAATTGCATCTTAGTGTCAAGAAAACAAAATCCTCACCACTAGACCTATAGGCAATATCATGATAGATGGAGAAAAGATTGAAACTGTCAATAACTTTATCTTACTTGGATCTATAATCAACACCTTGATACCAATACTCAAGACATATATTGCACTGGGACATATACTGCAGTTAGAAACTTCTCCAAATTATTGAGGCACACTAATGTCAGTTTGAGGATTAAGGTGCACCCAATTCGTGTTATAGTCTTTTTGGTCACTTGCTATGTATCTGAGAGCTGGACAATGAATAAGGATGACAGAAGAATTGAGGCCTTTTAGCTGTGGCATTGGAGAAAACTACTGAATGTCCCATGGACTTTCAAAAAAGCAAACACATATGTCTTGGATAAAGTACAGCCAGAGTTCTCTTTGGAGGCAAAGATGATAAAGTCTTGTCTCACAGACTTTGGACATATTGATAGGAGAAGTTATTCTCTGGAGGGGGACATCATGTTTGGAAAGGTGGAGGGTCAGTGAAGAAGAGGAAGACCCTCAACCAGGTGGATTGGCACAGTGATGGTGACAATGGGCTTGATTGTGTCAGAGACTGTGAGGACAGCATAGCATAAAACAGGTTTCAGATCTATTGTTCATAGGGTCAATATGAGTCATACTCAATGGCACCTGCAACAATAACATGTATGGGTGTGTTATATTGATATTGAAATTTATAAATATACACACATACACATACATTTGTCTATATTGATATAGGTCAATATAGGTCAGTTATAAATATGTTTATTCATGTAAATTAATTATTTTCTAAATACTTTACAATATCTCTAATACCACAATAATTTACAATATCCCTAGTACCACAATCCCTTCTAAAGCCAGCCTGCACTTCTGACAGTTTTCTGTTGAGGTGCTGTTCCACTCGTTTTTGGATAATCTTCAGCAGAATCTTGCTTGCATGTGATAACAATGATATTGTTTGATAATTTCCACACTCAGTTGAATCACCTCTCTTCGGAATGGAAACAAATATAGATCTCTTCCTGTCAGCTGGCCAAGTGGTTGTCCTCCAGATTTCTTGACACAACTTGGTGAGCATATCTAGTGTAGCATCTGTTAATTGAAATACATCAGTTGGTATACCATCAATTCCTGGGGCCTTATTTTTTGCCAATTCCTTCAAAGCAGTTTGAACTTCTTTCTTCATTACCATAGACTCTTGCTCATATGTTGTTTCATGAAATTCTTCTGTGTCTGCCAATTCCTTTTGGTACAGGTACTCTGAATTCTCTTCCCATCTTCTTTTAATACTTCCTGAATCATTTAATATTCTTCCCAAAACATCTTTAAGTATAGCAACTCAAGGTTTGAATTTCTTCTTCAGTTCCCTGAGCTTAAGAAATGCTGAGGGAGTTCGGCCCTTTTGGTTTTCTGACTCCAGCTCCCTGCATATTTCATTGTAATACTTTATTTTGTCTTCCTACGCTGCCTTTTGAAATATGTTCAGTTCTTTAATATCTTGAAATCTTCCCTCTGCTTTGGCTTCTTGGTGTTCTTGTGCAGTATTCAGTCTCTCTTCTGACATCCATTTTGGTCTAGTAAAAACCTCTCACTCTTGGGGAGAGGCTCTGGTTGCTTAGTGGTAAGGAGTTGAACTGCCAACATAAAGGCATGTGGTTCAAATCCACCAACTTCTCCGTGGGGGAAATGGAATAATCTTTCCCAAGTGATTTATTGTCTCTGAAACTCAGAGGAATGCAAGTATGAGTCAGTTCCCACTTGCTGGTACATAGCATCAACTTCATCAAGAACCACCACCTCATTCTTGCAATAGTTACAATAAGTAACTCTTTCATATTTGTTCCTCAAGCCATGGCTTCATTTTGTAAAGTGTTATCTGGAAGGAATAGATGTTCATGCTTCTGAGGAGAGTGTGAAAAGGATAGCAGAGATTATATATTCTCCTAAAAGTACCTATGTTCTCCACTACTCTCACACAAACACGTATATACATGCATACACAAACCATGTAATAGTGATTACAATTTGTTAATGGTGGAAAATTTATTGGTGGCCTAATATAGTTAAGTTTTCATGGATAAACAAACAAGTCTCAAGGAGAAAGATATGTTGATATATTTCCATAAAGATTACAGGCTACGAAACTCTATGAGACATTTATATTCTGTCACATTGGGTCACCTTGCATTAAGAATCAACTCAGAAACACCAAACAAAATTTGTGAATTTTTGTTCATTTGATGATGCAACAAGATCAAGAAATGTCAAAAAGTAGAGGAATAATAATTGGATCTGGGTTAGATGAGGGGTAATATACAGCAAAATATAAAAGATGGATTATGTAGGTTTCAGGGTTTATAAACTGAGAAAAATTCTTCAGAGATTTCCTAATATTTAAATGCCAAAGAGTCAACCATTACATAACATTTCATCATTCTCTTTTACAGAGAAATCCTGGATTAAGATTTGAGGATGAATCAATGGATTAGGCCCAATGGTGAGAATCTTACCATAGTCCAGATTCACCTCATCAAGTCTTACTAGTAAGAAGAAATAATCAAAAGAAGAAGTTCAAGATCAGTGGTAGACCCCTAGGTTGCATGGAAAATTCCTTGTAGTGACTTTTCTTAGAGCTCCTTTCACATCCTTGTTCCTTAGACTGTAGATAAGAGGATTAAGCATGGGGGTCACCACTGCATAGAACACTGATACTAGTTTTTCCTGCTCTTTCGAAGATTTTGGTGTCATATAGGTTATAATTGCTGACCCATAAAAAAGGATGACCACTACAAGATGGGAACCACAGGTAGAGAATGCTTTGAGTCTCCCAGCAGCTGACTTCATTCTGATCACAGTCACAATAATGTGTCCATAGGATATCAAAATCAGGGAAACGGGTATTAGGAGAATCACAACTCCCACAAGAAAAATGGCCATCTCTGAAGTATGGGTGTCTGAGGATGCCAAAACCAATAATGCAGGGGCCTCACAAAAGAAGTGAGCAATTCTATTGTTTCCCTGATAAGGTAGCTTTAGTGTAAAGGTACTGTCCACAGCAGACACCAGAATTCCAGTGGTCCATGATATCGTGGCAAGATGGACACACACCCTCCAGGTCATGACATTGGAGTAATGCAGAGGTTTGCAGATGGCTGCGTAACGATCATAGGACATTACTGCTAGGAGGACACATTGGGTACCTCCAAAAACAAGGAAGAGAAGAAGCTGAGCTGCACAACGTAGGAATGAAATAGACTTCTTCCTGGAAAGTAGATGAATGAGGGCTTGAGGAACAATGTTGGTAGAGAAACAGAGGTCAGCCAGAGACAAGTTGCAGAGAAAAAAATACATGGGTGTGTGAAGTCGGGAGTCAACCTGAACAAGGGATATGAGAAGCAAATTTCCAAGTACAGTGACAAGATACACACCAAGGAATAAGATAAAGAGAAGTTTCTGGTTGAATGGGTCATCAGAGAGTCCCAAGAGGAAGAATTCAGTCACTGGTGTCCGGTTAGTCTGTGCCATAGCTTGTTCCTTTTTTTTAAAACTATCTGCTAAGCAGTTTTGCACATGGCCTACAAAATTATATAACCCAAGTTTAGAATTTGCCCCTAATTGCTACCAATCATTTCTAGAATAATCTTTATAAGGTCATCAGCAGATAATCATATTTTCTTATTGAAAAATTTCTAGTGCTATTTAACTTAATACTTCATAAAATGGTACATTCCATTGTTGATGTTATCTGACAAGAGAAAAATAAAATAATAATTCAATTTTGCATTAATAACACAACAATAGATTTAATAATCTTTAAATTTATACCATTTTATTTTACTTTTTATTAACTAGAATCACTCTTTTTCTGTTACTTATAAAGAAAAATTATTTCTGAGCTCAAAGGCATGTTACACTGTTCAAGAATATTGCCACTGAATAGCTCAGTGACAATTTTCATGAAATTCAATCAAAAGAAATAATTTCTTTCCAAAACCACTTTGCACACTGAATAATACCAGTTTTTCCATTTCTCATTTCTATAGAAATCTCCATGTATGTCTTCTTTCTTGGTTAATCTTCTACAAACTCACAGAGAGTTATAACCCCCAGGACCATACTAATAAATGCTCCAACAATATGAATTTAAGATTCTTGGCCAAGAGACCTCACATCTGCAGTTTTACTGGAACAATTTAAGATATGATTGATCTTCACCTCAGTGTCCTTCTGGACATGTGGAGAAATAGGCAGCCCAAATCACTGTTTCTAAAGATGTTTTGGGCATGTGGCTCCCTCCCATCTCATGATTGTGTGTGATTTTCGTTTTCTTACAATGCTTTGGACATACAACTTGTCTCTTCTTTAAAAGGATAGACATGAAAGTATGTCAGATGAATGAGAACCAAAGTACCTGGTTCTCAGAGAAAATAACCAGAGTTAACAAAGCTGGGGAATCAAGTAATAACTGCATACTGTGGATCATCTCTTTGGCAATCCCATCTCCAGCTTAGCCTCTCTTGTAATGTCAAGCATGAGTAAGCATCCAAACCAGCAAAGGCACCATTGAACAAAATTTCCACTTCAACCACCAGCTTGATAATTTCTTACTCAATCCAAACTCTTTACTATTTTCCAACAGCAGTTCAACATCATCTTTCATTGTTTGGCATTATCTACTACATCTGCAGATTTAAAAATTCCTTTGAAATAATATTTTTTTTTAATCAGGGAAATTTGGCAAAACACCTTCATATCTTGTAATATAAAAATAATGGTTACACTAATATTGTCCGCTCATAAGTTAAAGGGCAGAAGGTAGAAGCTGATTCAATTCCAATGAAGTAAAAGCCAGTAGCCAATATCATCAACCTCTAAAAACTTTTAAAAGATAAAAATTTGTTTTGTAATAGCCTAAAAAGACTCTCTTCCTTTCATCTTCCTTATTCTAATTTTTTCTTATTATCTCTATTTTGAATGGAGGGTGGAGGGACGGCGCAGGAGGGGAAGGCCCTCTATGAGGTGGATTGATTCAGTGACTGGGATAATTGGGATGGGAGTGTCAGAGACAGTGCGACTGGCACAGGACAGAGCGGAGTTTAGGGCTGTTGTACATAGGGTCGCTATGAGTCGCAGGTGACTCGACGGCACATAACAACAACAACAACATTTAATTTTAAATGTTTTCATATCCATAATTTACAAGTTAATAAAATATGTGCTTTTCTGAAACTAGAGAAAAAACACACTATGAAAATTTAAAAGGTTTGTACTTCAAGGGACAAAATTCAGAGAGTATCAAGATAAACCACAGAATGGGACACAACTTTTTTAAGTCCCCAACTCTCGCTCCATTAAGCACTTTTATAACCTTAATAAAACTACAGATAAACCAGCTTTAACATGGTGGCCTACTAGCAGGAATCTGTGTTATAATCCTGAAACCCACGTTTCCGTTTCGAGGCCACTGGCTGCTACGTGGGAGGAAGAGGACCGGCAATCCCCTCCCCTTTGTTGAAAACCCAGATGGATATATTTGCAGTAGTAGAATTGCTGGGTCCAAAGGTATTTCTATTTGCAACTCTGAGAAAGTGCCATACGGCCTTCCATAGTAGTTGTACCATTTTACACTTCCACCAACAGTGAATAAGGGTTCCAGTCTCTGTTTGCTGCTCTGTTGAATTTTGCTATTCTTACTGGGGTAAGATAATATCTCATAGTTGAAAAAACATTTAATAAAAGAAAAAGAAAACCCAGATGGAGGGTCAGTTATGGGTCAGTTCTGGATTGATTGGTATATAACAACAACAAAGGAACAGAATAGATATTTTGCCAAATAAGGTATGCAAATATCCAAATAAGCACACCAAAAAGATGGTTAATACCATTAAACCAAATCAAACCAAAGACCTCTGAGCTGATTCTGTCTTATTTAGAAGAGAGTAGAACTGTCCACATAAGATTTTCAGTGCCATGAAAACTCAGTGTCTTACAATTGGAACCAACTCACAGCTGATCTGTGAGTTTCTGAGGCTGTAAATCACACTGGAATAGACTGCCAATCTTAGTCTCACAGAGAGACTGGTGGACTGGGATCACCAGAAAGGTATAGCTTTAAGCTTGGCAGTACAACTCCCTATGGACTATGACAATCCCAAAGGCACAGGGTTGGAATTCACCAGCTTCACTGTGGGGAAAATATGTGTAATCTCCTCCCATGCGATTTACTGTCTCTGAAAACTTGCTGGAGGGTCAGCTGTGGGTAGGTTATGACTTGATGGTACACAACAACAACAACAACCAGAAGCATGTCTACTAGTATTCTATTGATTATTAGGAGACATTCTACTGTTTGGGTCATAACAAACTGTGGCTAAAATTGAGAAGACTAGGAATTTTAGAACACTTTATTGTGCTTGTAAACCTGTATCAAGAAGCTATTGTACAGAGCAAGGGAACCCTGCATGGTTTAAAATGAACAAAGATATGAACCCAGTAGACAATCACCATGTGTAGAGACTTTTCTTTATTAGTATATAAAGCTAACGTTTGCTAGAAATATGTGATATTGCACAGTAAAGATAAGTAAAAATTTACTACGCTGCTAATTGAACAGAATAGGTGGGTCTAATTTGCAATATCACATATCCTTCATGAATATTCTTATACAAATATAATGACTTTTAACCTATGTCAATATCAAATACAGAATGAATTTTAAGCAATTGAAATGCTAAATCCATGATTTTTCCAAAAGTGAAATATAGGGTACACACATTTTAACTTTTGAATGTCTTAGCACTGATATAAAATGTAATGTAATATAATATAATAAAT